AGCATGGGTGGTGCATATGTGTGAAAAGTCATCTTCTCTCCACCACTGTCAGTCCATCTGAGCAGTTCACATTGGTGCTACAAAGGAGTGGGAAGAAAAGGGGTGCTGGAGGGCTAGTGGGATGACCAGTTTATAAAACAGAGGAAATTATGTAAGATGTAATTACCTTCATGCTTTCATTACTTTTGCAGACTGCAAAGGTTTAAAACTAAAGTCTGTGTTGTCCTCTGTGTGGGAAAATGGCTTTTTTTGTGTGTTTCTTTCTCGTTTCCCATACTTTCATTCTTTCTTTGTGTCAATGTTCTTGGTGTACAAGAAGTACAAGTAGAACCCTGCTTTACAATCTCAGTGAAATCTCAGATAAGTGAAATATTTTGAATGTGTCAAATGTGAACAATTCAGTCTTTAGTTGGCTTACCTCAGTTTTCATGATGTATTATATAAGTAGTATAATTGTAATAAATAAATACTGTTAATAATATATAACATATTATTAATTACAGTGGATATAGAAAAGAATCACCCCCTTTAAAATAATCACATTTCGTTGCTTTGCAGCCTGAAATTAAGACGGACACAGTTTTTGTTTTATCCAGCTGTATTTACTCAGTGCAACTTATAACATCCAAGTGAAAGATAAAACACCACCATGTCAGAATTTTTTTTTTTTTTTAAACAGAGTCACTGAGTTGGAAAAAGGATCACCCCCTCCTAAAAAAATGACTTGTAAACTCAACCAGGTTTAGCTAATCACCTTCTCAATGGCACACAAAGCCATCTGACCTTCAGCTGTGATGAGCTGTGGTCATTTTGATTCGCTCAGCATGAAAAGAGCTTTCCTGGAGCATGTCAATCCTTGGTAGTGCAACTGCAGCAAACAATCAACTATGGGTGGCAAAGCAGTCAAAAGATCCCTGGGATAAATTCTGTAAGAAATTTATTGCTCATTGTTAGTTAATGAATTGGACCTTATTGTGTTACCTGTGTTTTATATATTAATATGACTTGCATTGCATTGAAACATAACTTATGAAACTCAAAACAAGCATCTATATTTATGTATATGGCTTTTATAACTAAATAAAATAACTAAACTATAAATAAAATATATTTTTTTTATTTTATTTTAAAATATTCTTAAGATGGCAAAGTTTTTTTAAGCAGCCATCATTCCAGTCTTCAGAGTCACATGATCCTTTAAAAACCATTCTAATATGGTTCTAATATATATGAATGCAAATCTTACAGCATTCAATCATGCACTCATACAGGCTGAACCAATATGCACAACAACTTGCAGAACTCTCATGATTATTTATTTATTAAAGTGAAAGGAATAGCAGATGTACTGTGTCTAAATATGCTAGATAGTGTTGTCAAAAGACCCGGTATTTCGGTAAAATAAGTATAAAGAATGGCATTGGTTTTGTACATTTAATTTTTGTTTAACGTTATTAATAAAAATGTTGTTCAATTAGCATGTTTTTGTGTTTTGCTTTGGTACCGAAATTGGTACCGAGAACCGTGGATTTTCACTGGTATCGGTACCGAATACTGAAATTTTGGTACCGTGACAACACTAATGCTAGAAAACATCTCCTGCAAAGGGACATTGTAATGCACACACTCTCACACACACACACACACACACACACACCAGGAAGAACTTTTCAAAGCCTTAAAGTGAAAGAATAGTTGCAGAAGGAGAGAAAAAGTAATGTTAATTGGATTTCAAATGAGCAGGAACAACAATTCAAAGTCAAGAAATGAAAAGAGTAATAATGTCCTGGAACATACTGTTCTAATTGCCTTTTGTTCTCTGCCACTCTCAGTGCCGGAATGGAAAGGAAGCTTGGGAAAAAGTGGCTGGAATTGTTGTTTTTTTTGTTGCTGAACTTCTATACACAGTATGATTTCAAGAAAGCCATAAGGATGGTCTCTCTTTGGCCAACAATAAAAGTACTCTTTAGGAAAGCAAGACATTTTGTAAGGGACAATTTAAAGTAAGATGAGAACCTTGTTTGTTCCTGGGCCAAACGATGGAACAAAACCAAGGCAGTGATGATTTGTAGGAGGGCCACATGGTTCACTTTCTTTCACTCTCATGCTTTAAATCCACTGTTCTCAACCAGGGTTCCCTCAAGGAACAGCAGGGGGTCAGTTTAGAAGATATAATAAACCTTGCATTTTCTAAAATGCTTAAATCATGACATTTCTAACTGTTAACTAATTTTAAACTTTCAAACTAATTATCTTTTAAGCAATATGTAATGTAGTAATGTGAAATTATATTCTTAATGAAAGTTATTATAAAGGGTTACCAACAAAATCTAGCTTTTTTATACATTTTATTTAGCTTTCAGGTCACAAGTTTAGAATTGCTACTTTCTCTCTTATTAATTATTTTATTAATTTATTTAGAATGTATTTATTTTTTGCAAAAAATCTTTAAAGTATAAAAGACTGGTTTATATAGAAAATGCATGCTCAACACAAAATACAGGAAATAAAATGTAGAATGCTGGTGTATCTCACCTGCCCATTTCCCCAGAGTGGTGAAAAAAGACTCAGGAAGAGGACAGAAGAGCTTCGGGACAAGCATCATAAACAGGCATACTAATTTCCCTCCAAAAACCAGGACAGCACAAGTCCCGGTCAAGATGAAGATAATCTCAGCGAGCGTCATGACGGCTTTTCTCAAGGCTTAAAGTGAGTCCTTCCTGCCCCTCTTTTTACTGCCACAGTTCTCTCATTCTCTTATTTAATCTGACCACAAGCTTCAAAACCCAGTGCTGACAGCTCCCTGAGCCAATCAGAATCTTCTCTGCCCATTCTCACCAGGATAGAATTCACATTCCTCATTTTTTGTGACTGTTGTGGCATTTAGTGTGAGTAAGCTCACCTATTGTCATCCAAATCCCAGAGTGGAGGGAATTTAAGTGACTTACCTTGCGTCACAGAATGTAGGCTCGTTCTGGACTGAGGAATCACATTTCAGCACTTAAATCCTTTCACTGCTAACTTGATTTTACAGAACTGATTTGAAATGTCTTCATGGTGTTGTCCCTGCATACTTTGGCAATATTGTCGCTAATCTAGCCAAATCAGGCATATAATTTAACTAAAAGCTGCCCAAAACACCAAAGGTTAAACCTAAAACACTGCCAAAAAAGTGGATTTTAGTCACTATTGTCCCAAGCTGTTGAACTCTCTGGCAAACTATAAACTATTCACTATACCTGGCACTTTTAGAACTATTTTTTTTTATCTGGTAAATTTTCAGTTAATTTGATGTTTTCTTATATTATTACTTGTGTATGAGAATCAGTTCTTTTTTCTGTCATTTTAATTTTAGTTAAAGGTTTAATATATATATATATTTTTATTAATTCATGTCTATATGGTTTTATTTATTTTATTAAGTGAAATTAAATTGCAATGAGAAATGCTGCCTAGGCAACTGAATTAAAAACGTTTTTTATATTTTATTTTTAGTTAATGTTTATTTTATTTCAAGTAACAATTTTTTTATGGTTTTAGCTTCAGCTGTATTACGAATGTATTAATTATTGATTTAAAAATACATCTTCTCATGTTACAGTAATAAGGCATGTTTACTCAAAAGGATTTTAGTTTGTGAATTCAAATCTGGGTGATGATAACGTGAAGGGTGATATTTTATTGATAATTTATCAGTAAGAGCATCCAGACTCACCTATTTGTATCCACACTTACATTTTTTCATGGGAACACAGAAAGGTAATGACTGATTGTCAGCTTTTGCAACATGATTTACTGTAAATGTGCACTGCTTACCTTATTTGTTGACATTGAGCTTTCACAATTATTAAGCTTGTGAAAAAGTCAACATTCGCTCTATATTTCATCATCACACTAAATGCCATTATCTTGCTCTCGTGAGTCCTGTCTAGTGTCTAGCACATTTGTCTGGCACTGCAGCGTTGAGCTCTCTGGTATCAGGGACTCACAGGATTTAAGCAGCTCCAGCGCTATCTAGTGGTTTAAAAAATCATGCCCTACAGCCCAACGTATAAAACGTGTTACCTTACTGCTTGCTCCATTATCTATTAATTGCCAGAAAAATAATATAAATTATGCGAGTTGACTCAAATGTAAAACTCCCTCATGTATTTACTGAAGAAAAGCTCTGCAGCTTAACAAGTTTCATAGAAGGGCTTTGTTTGCCCACTCAGGAACAGCTTGAACTGTTTTCTGCCTCATTACTCATTCCTTAGTAACCGGTTTGTTATATGATTCAAGCTGGATGTTATTTGTAAGATGGGGACTTTTCACTGTGGTATTTTTTATTTGATGTAGGCCTAATAGATTTCTGCTGGCCAGGCATCCAAGACGTCGTACTAAATCAATATTTGCATGTGGGCATGAAACAGCAGAGGGCGCTGTTCACCAAGTTTGGGATTTTTCCTCTTCAATGTACTTGGACGAAAAATCTCAATACAACTATCAAGCCCTAGAATAATTTAAATGTATTTAAATATTTAAATGGACACTATATATATATATGCCTATAGTTTATATTGTCGTATCAAAAATGACCTCTTATAGCAGCACTTTGAAATAACGTGTCTTTGATATAAGGTCTATTTTAGAGTATGAACCTATGGCACGTAATTCAGTCGTAATGAACAGAGAAAATAATTATTCCTAAATGTTAATATTCTGATGACGTATGTCTAGGATGAGCTCAGTGAACTTGTCTTGTTGCTCTTCTGAAGGGGTCTCGTGTAGCTGTGTCCGATTCGTAAACGAATCCCTCTATCCAGTCGATTCTGTTCAATTAATCTTTCGAATCACAAGACTGGTCTGAACGACTCACGAAAATAAATAATTTAAAATATTAAAATGAATAGATATATCAATTAGATTAAAACAGTATTTAATAAAATGCAAAACATTAAAAGAACCGATACGCGGAAAGGATTCGGACTTCCTATCACTAGTCTCGTGTGGCGCGCATGTGTTGAGAACGAGCGAATGCTGTTACGTAACAGTACGTATGCTGACATCTACCTGCCCACTTTCTGAGACATAAAACATATCAATATTACAAATAAAGTAATGGTACCTAATGTATTCTTATCCTAATCGAGCTTCATTATGGATAAGAATCGATCTGTCGTCACGTGATCCAGACAACATTGTTTTCTCAGACAAACAATGACCTCGTGCACCCACCAGAATACATTTCTATAACAGCCATATCTAAAACAGCCCATAATAAACCTAACAAAAGCCCATCTGCTTAAATCCGCAGCCATTTGGTTGAGACTTGAGCTGAAGGGGGACAGGACGTTGCATTGACGGGTTCTCCACTCGTTCTTTCCCATTTTTTCTCCGTACACGGAAAGCTCCTGCCCCCTGATCCCTCAAGCGCCCGGATGCACACCAGCAACAGTCAGTCAGTCAGCCAGTCAGGACGAACATGGTCGCCAGAGCTGAAGGGAGTGTTTAGGAGTCTCCGCGCTGAAATTCGCTCCATTAAAGCGAGGGCTGTTATACTGATAGCCGAAGCACGTTAAAGCCTCTCCGGAGGACTGGATTCTCTTCTCGGTGAGTAAGAGCTGTGTCATTGGCCGCTGTCATGCCGTCGATAATTCGTCAATGGATTAGATTCGCGCCACGGGAAATATGTTCAGAACCATGCGCTCTGGAATAGGAGAAGGCCCGCGCTTTAACATTACTTTGTTACTCTGGCGTGCAGCTACATATGGCTTTGAGGCGTGATGATGATGTTGTCTTTAAAGTGATCATATATTCAGGAGGTATTACGTGATTTTTCTCAGGGTCAGATTTGTGCGAGTCCACTGGTATTTAATGCTGTTAACCGCTTTGTATTAAGCATGGTGTTCGTTTTGTGAGTATGACAGCGCTTTTGCAGATTTGCTTTAAATTTTAATATATATATATATATATATATATATATGTATA